GTCAATCAGTGTTTAAAAAAATGTCACGTTAGAAAAATCGCATTCCGTCGAACTCATATTACATACAGAAAACTTCATATAAAATCAGAATTATTAAAGTTAAAAAGTACACACAAAAAATCACCTTTAATCGTAATTACTGGACTACGGGTATTTATGTAGTTAAATTCTCATTTTTGTAAACATTATGAAAGAACTGATATCTGAGTAGAAATTTATTTTATCTACGAAATATTATAGCGAGTCTATTTTGAATATTTTACATATTTTTGCATATTATGTATCAACAGTCTCCACATTCTCGAATCTTTAACTTTTCCAACAATGTATTCCGCTGATATTTCTTTCTTGGTATAGGTATCACATTATACGATGGTTAGCAGTATTTTCAAGCATGCCGCGGCTCCCTCTCATAGTTCTTTTCATTCTTCCTGGTGTTATCGTAAGTAATGGTCGCTCAAGAAGAACAACGATCAAGTTTATGTACTGTTTACACGGTCTTCGACCGCTTTCTTCATGCATCGTTCCCAGACGCACGTTTTTCCATCGCGGTGAATTTATGCGACGCGAATACTGCCCTTGAAAATTCCTTTCCGCATTCTGTGCGCATGGAACGATTTGTCGGAAGAATCTTGTAATTATATTGCACGAACTAATTGTTAAAAGTGATTTCAAAGTAGTTTGGTACTTGCTTTATGGTAATATTTTTTATTTAAATTTTTATTGGGAGGAATTTGGCTATTCCCGCGATATTAAAGAATTTTGTAACGAATTTTGTAGCACCCAAATTAATACGAAACATTCTCAATGATGGCGATAATGAAATTCGCGTATGTTCGTATCTGTTGGAATATTGAAGAATGGGAACAACAGACTTAAAACTGAGAAACCGCTTTCTTTCTTGTACGCAATGGACCAAGAAGACTGAGGTTGCAAACCATAGGAAGAAGTCTCGTTTCGAGAAGAATTCGTGAAAGAAACGATCTCGTGAAATCGATGTGGTCGACGTTATGCGTCCGCGTGAGATACGAATCAACGACCGTCGACAAAAGAAAGTTTGACGTAATCGAGGGAGTTTCACCTGCCGAAATACAAAAGCGATCAAACGATAGCAATTCCCCGAGATTGGTCAAAACTGCATCGAAGAATTGCGAGATCCGTCGTCATCCTTGAAGGCACCTTGACACGGATAAATCTGTTAAATCACCGCGTTAAGTAACGTCTTAATAAAAGCTGAAATGTTACTACCTACGATCCTCTCACGCGGCTTGTATTGCGATTATGTCCATATACCTTTCAATTTAATTCTTTTTACGAAAAATTTTATACTTCGATCGTTGATAATCTTACTGTTAAATGGTTAATATCCAAATGATTATTTCTTTACGCAATCGTAACTTTAACGATTTAAACTTGTAAACAATGACTTGCACTAAACATATCACCCCATAGTTTGGCGTTATTACAATTATTCCTTAAATGGACCATTATCTCGTCTTCTACTAGCGGAAAATCATCTAAAAGAATTCACAGATAATGCGTAACTATTTTCACCGATTGGAAATCGAACAGAGCTGTTATTGGCCAATCTTTACTTCCGAACGAGGGAACCTTCCTGCTGCGACGAATTATATGTAGTAAATCGAATCGAGAACAGCACGAAACTCTCTCGTTTTGTGGCTGTGCAGTCGAGCAACGCGAAATTCCCATCGCTGGGATCGTACTGCGCATTTCGAATTGGGACGATCAGAGTACTAAGGAACTCGAGCATGCTTTAAGGGATGTTATAAAGGATAACTACTTTCCTGTTTACGCGTGTATACTTGAAAAGTATTCTCGTTGCATTTTGAGACTCGCTCGGAAGAATATCTTTCGTTTCCGCGATTCGAGCACCGATATCTTACCAAGCTGAAAGTTTCTAGAGCTTGACATCCACCGAATTATTTATTCCAATTTCCATTTTAATAATGCAAATGCAAAGGAAGTTTTTAATTAATTAAGTCTTCATACAAGATGGATTTCTTCTGTTTGAAATTCTAATAAAAATTAAAGAAATTAATTGTTCAAAATGTCTTCGTTATACGCTAGAATTTCGATAGTAACGACCATAATCGTATACCGTCATCTATCGTCGATAATACTCGAACAATGGACATAAATTAAGAAAGTTAAAATACGTATTTATATGTTTTATATTTGATAATCTAATAATATAATATATAATATATAATATTGTAGGATCTTTACTACAATTAGTTTATTTACAATAAATGAATTAAATATATGTTGGTTAAACAGGAAACGATGGTTGCTTAACGTGAACTAATCACAATAACGTATTATAATTAAGACAACTAGATAGTTAATTTGCAACTCTCGTCACCACGGATCCAACGCTCTCTCTCTCTCTCTCTCTCTCTCTCACGCGGACCACACTCTCTCGACAACGCTAGCAACATTATCTCCCTGACTTCTCGATTCACACTCTCTGGCTTCTCAACTAACACTGACTGTTAATTTGTCTTTGTCCCTTAGCAACCCCTTGTCTTCTGTCTTAGCCTCACGTCTTTTATCTTAGCCCCACACGCACATGTTCCGCAACCGCTTGTTTATAATTCGCCCGATACCTCTTAGGCCTTTTGTCCACGATACTACAATATATAATATAGTATAATAAATCTAATAATATAATTAGATTATTAAACGTCTTTACGGTATCGCAGATATAGTTCAATAATTCAGCCAATTTTATAACTCAACATTGCCAAAGTATCGAGCACACTGGATTATTGGAATTCTACGATAACTTAATTTTTGAAAGTATCAGTCATTTCATTCAGAAATATCTTATTTTCGACGCACGGGAATGATTTTTAGCCCGAATTGGATATCGTTAGCGAAAAGTCACGCTCCGAGAGCACAAGTGCCATTACGGTCGATACACGGCCGGATTATTCGCGACGTTTCGGGGAGGAGCTCGTTGAACGCTTTCAATCGGGGCTCCAAGTGAAAAATGTCCTGTCAGGTGCAGCGAGTCAGACCCTATCGAAGGTCCTCCAACATAGGAGCTGCGTTGAATGCGCAAAAGGAAAACGGGAATACAAAAAAATTTGTGGAGAAAACGTTTCACGAGTGCACAGCACTAAATTGGTAGTGAGATTGTTGGCATCGGATATAGTAAACAGTATTATTAAAAGTGACTGGCTTTAAAGAACAAGAAACCGAAAGACCAGATTTAAATCGACGATCACGTAAGGTAAGTCGAATATATAGGATAACACTTTTTCATATAATCCTTTCTTAAGAAAATCGAATATTAAATACGTACTTATAGTAGAACTCAGCCAGTTTCTGATTTGACAGAATTGGCGATCGACAGGAGTTATAAATTATCCTATAAATGAAAATAAATCAAATATTGTAGATAAAGTCTTTTCGTTTGAAACCTCATCTTCAAGAAAATCAAGTTTGAAGATTTATCGACGTATTCAAACGCCATTTTAAGGCATGTACTGCGATGTTAATCAAGGATATGTGTTTGCACAATAAATATATTTTATACTCGAGCAAGTTGTCTTTAGTTTCTACGATTTCCCGTAGTTATAAATTTCTCAAACATAATAAAAATTAAAAATTCGAATTATAGCTTCATGCACGGTATGACAGTCCTGCAATTAAACTAGTTGCAAATAGAATTTGAGCAAGGTTACAACGCGAGAAAGTACACTAAAATCAAAAGAAGCGCGTGATTAATGCCGAAGAAAGTAAGTAGAGAGAGGAAGTAGCAATGGATAAGCGACGAGAAAAATATCGCAATTTGCGATAACCACGAGAAACGTATTCTTGCGATATATTAAGCCGTGAACAGAGCAATAACCGTGGTCACGAAACGAAAACAGCTATGTTTCCTTATCTCAACCTTTCTGAAGAAAGAAACGAATCTTTTAACAACGATCCTCTCTTACCTCTAAACGAGTCTTTCTAATCTCAGCATAATACATTGCATAAGAAAAGACTTAACTTTCTAACTCATTATATAAACATAAACGCGTGCAACATTATGCTCATTCAACGTGACTAATTACCGATTTATCATTTATTTACTTGCTCTTACTATTACTATCTATTACCATTATTTAAGAAAAGTCGTAGCGAGAAAAACTTTCGTTCCAAATATCTAACTATCATCCTTTGAAACACCTTGACGACAAGAGCAACATCAAAGCTGCATGATTTACGGGTCACGTGTGACTCCTCCTTCCATCTCGAATAGAGAGACGAACATCATGAAATGAACAAAAGCATAATGCGTTGTATTCCATCCGCACAAAGGCCGCAATGAATCATAGTAGCCCGTGAATCGACCAATCGATTCGTCCACTTCTCTCTAATTTCATGGTTTATCGTGAAGCACAGAGGGAGAACAAAGTTCATTGATCACGTAGCGAGACAGAGAAGGAAAGGAAGGAAAAGGGCAATCGTCGGTGAAAATCCTGCGGGGCCATTCGTTTATGAGTACGTACTGTCTGGCTTATTCGACCCCCATCATGGCTTACGCCTATATATACGGACCGTAACTACATGGGGAACCGGGGAAAACTACGAGGGTGGCACAGTTTCGGAGTTTGTGAGAAGGGTGAACGCCAGCCAGCCCCGTGGCACTAAACACTTAACTGCCCGACCGTATTTTACAGGATGAATCCTAAGATTCTATCTTTCGTACGACCGCCATCTCGGTAATGGAGGATTCACCTTTATGGCACTGTAGTCGACAATTTGGCGAAATTTACATTTGCGGACCATCTGTTACGCAACGTCAAAGAGAATTATGATTATCAGATTGCCGATGTTTGTGTAGATTTATTTTTATATTATTAGTTTTATTATTTTTATATTAGATATATTTTTTATATTAGATATATTTTTTATATTAGAATTATTTTTGTGAACACGGCTAAAGAAATGAAATATACATGTAATTGTGATTCAAACTGTTTCAGAGCTTTTTGGAGGCGAACTCCAAATGCTGGTGGAACGCAGCCTTGGTGGACGCAACCCGACAACTCAGGTACAAGGGTCACGTGTCACCTGGGGTGCTGATGGTCGGTGGACCACCCTGTGCCCTCGAGGTCTTGAGGGCAGCCTGGGCTCGGAATGTCCTACGACCGCCGGCTGATCACGCGATAACTTGCCTTGGTAAGTACATTCTCAAGCTTCTAACCATGATTACCCTCAATTTTTACCTACTCCTTCGTCCTTCTCAAACCAAGTTGTTAGATACAACGACCAAGACCTGTTCTAATCGTACCGATTAATTACAGAACGATTTATTTCGAATGCTAATGAAACTCGAATCGGACGCATCAGCGACATGCGTCGATTATATCGCTGATCAAGAGAACGTTCGATGCCCATAGCTGGAATGGACGCGCGTACACCGTTGCAAATAAACAGAACTGCTATGCCACGCGGTTGTATCTCGTGTCGTTAGCGGAAGCGGATGATAATGCAAATTGGATGTGGCGTTAACGTTTGGTTGTGCATCGCGCTAGTATACGTTTAAATCGAGGAGAGCAACGTATCTCACCGGCTTTATCTTTACGCAACTATGGTTCTTGCATTATCGGCACCGCTTTACCGCGTTCCTTTGTGCAAGTATTCGAGTTCCAAGGAAGTCAGGCGGCGTATTCCATGCTCTTACGCGCTACCATGTGCTACCTAAGTATCGTTCGCTGTTGTCGTTCCGCGTGTCTCTAAATGCCTCTACGAAATTCATTTCCAACAGCGGCGAATAGGAACGCGAACGATATCGTCGATAGCATGCGATGTTTTTCTGTTTTTTGTCTTCTCGTGTACCTTTTTCACCAGCACGTTATTCATCGACGTGCCCTCCATCTTCTTTTTTCATTCCACGCCACCACTATTGCCATTTTTGCGCATCGCGTTCCTCTATCTATATACACCTACGCACCACTACCTCGCATACCAAACGTATGCTAATGCATGTAAGTTCCAAGGTACATTGGCGTAACAGCGCAATTAATAACGCCATGACTACAACATTCAGAAGTAGCTGGATCACCTGCATGGTTTGTTGGATTTTCGAGTCGATCACGTTTTACTGGTCCCGTCGTAGCTATCTCCACAGCTACGATCGAAATAATTCCGATGGAAACGAGACATTGCTCCTCTCTTATGCCGCGTCCTCGTTGAAGCAACAATGCTTATCCTCGTTGCTGCATGTCCTAAACAGAGCGCCCAACAAAGATATTAACTCGTAGAAACATTTTGTCCGTACTGCAGCAACGTAATCGAAAGAGTTCACGCGTCGATTATCACGTAGAAATACCACCACACGAAATTTCCACTCGAAAAACTTCGACCTGGAACTTGATTACACAATGCGGCAGTTGCATAACGTGTAGCAGACAGTTATCGAAACATCCGTAAAATACACGTTTGGCATTTCACCATAAAACTCGAGCCAATCGTAACGCTAACGCAACGAGTCACGATGTCAGCCGATTCCTCGCATTATCCAACACCACGGTTGGCTAAAATTTCCACTTTATCAGGAGGATTTTGTCAGCCGCCGCGCCGGCTGATAAACGCGTTCAAACACACAGCAGGGTACACGCGCCTATGCGACTCGCTGCTCCGGCGGTGTCTCCTTGTAAAAAGCAAACGATAGCCTGCTACGTTCTACGTCGTTTATCTGCTTGGATTATAGAGCATCCGTGGTATCTAGGGGCCGCTTTCCTTATATGCTCGCTTTTCTTCTTCCTTCCCCTCCCTTTTCGCGTGTCTCTTTTCTAGTGCCTCGGTATCTCCTTCTTCATTTTCCTCATTTTTTCCTTCCTCTCTTCCCGCAGGCCGGTTCTCATATGCCTTAGACACTTGGATACACCTACACTCGGCTATCTCGTGTATTGGTTTTATGCTAATGTATATGCATTCCAACATGCCCGGACACAGTCATATAATTAATGATACCTTGTTCTCGCGGTTACTTTTTTCTACAAGCGGATTTAGAAAACTTCGTACATTGTTCGCGGCCTCGTTCGTTACCGCGTTCTCGTGACGAATACCTACGAATACCAACGACCCGGAGCTTTAACGCGAGATACACCCTTATTCATGGGATTATTAACAAATGTTGTTAATTTTGTATTGAACGTGATAATTGATTGAGAAACAATTAACATACGATGAGAAATTATGGAAGCTGTTTGCGACAGTTTTAGAAAATAATAGCGAATTGATAATTATACGTAGACATAACTGTACAGTGTTTCCTATAAATTTAGTTGAAAGAATTTTGAGACAACTCAAATGGCCCAAAATTTAAATCTGCTTTATGAAATCGTTTATATTATAGGAAATGATCAAGTAACGCCATATAAAACATAGCAGTATATCAGAACAGAATTATATGAATATCGAAATTAACTAAAACAATATTCGTGAGATAGAATGAATAAAAATATTTATTAAATACATAATTGTTGATACTGAGCATACGTGATCTTTACAATCTAAAGTTTCAAACGAAGTTTGATGATTTCCAAATGAATTAACAGATTCCACTTCGTTTTTCTGTAAGTGTCCTGATAAACAGCGTAACGTACATCGTTCGATTATACTTGAGTTAAAACCGAAATTTATCGCGTGTCGCAGCTCAAAGTTATCCCGACCATGTAATAAAATGCTACCCTTCAACGAGCATCGACACGAGATCCACCTTGATCTCCCATATAAATATCTTCTACTATGCTCGAAGCGTCTTTGTAAAATCTGTGAAAACTGTCGGCTGAACACCGTGAAATCTCGACTCTCTAAGAGTATTACGCAAGCGAGAATAGCCGCGAATCTTCGAATGGTTTTCGACGAGTTTATCGAAAAAAGTAATCTGAAAAAAGGGGGCTGTTGAGCAAGGCGGCTTTATCGTCGATCATTAAAGAGGCACCGATGGTAATGTAAATGAATCGTGGCGTAAAGTTCTTCGCCTTTCTCGCCGAGAAGATCCGTGCCAACGGCAGCAGGAGTGCTTAAATCGCGAAGTTGCCTTATCTCGAGTACCTTATCTTTACGCGGCTACGGTTCTCGCTTTATCGATACCAGTTTACCCGCGTAGCGTTTAGATGAGTTTGCCCTTGCAACCAGAGACACGCGACGCGTTTGCACCAGCGTGCAAACAGCAACAGCAGTCTTTATTAACAACGATCGTCTCAAGCACGAACGTCGAAATCGTTCGTTCATATTCCAGTTTAACGATTGCGACATACCGACGATCCTATGTTTCCACTTTTAAACTACAGGGTGTCGTTCATACACCGTGCACCGGTCATTTTCTTCGTCGTCTAACGTTTCTTCCCTCTTTCCTATCGCCTCGTTTGCATACGTTCTGCTCCAAATTCAACATTCCTATCTCCGTTGCAGACGCGCGTATCTCGGCGACTAGCACGCGCTGACACCTATGTGATTTCGTTCCTCGCCATTCTTTTCCTCTTTACCATCGTCTTTGCGTTCCTTAGCTTCTTTTCTCTCTTTCTCTTCTTCGAACCACCGTGCTTCCCTTCCCAGCCTGTCGGCATTCTTTTTACTCTCTTTCCACTTTTTTACACATCGTCCGCTCGTATCTACACACGCCTACGCGTGACTATCTCGCATACCAGGCTTATGCTAATGCACGCGCATATCAACGCTCACTGGCGTAGGAGCTCGTTTAATATTATCCCCGCGTCGTGTGACCTTATTTTTACGAGGTTGTTGCACGAAATTACGACGCTACGCTTCCTTCTTCTGCCGTCTACTCTTCCAAGCTCGTCGGAAATTTTTCTTCTTCCTAACTCGGGAACTGAGAGAATTCGTTCGGAAGGTCGCCAACGGCGCAACCGAGCCGATCTCCCGGACGATCAAGCGCGTATCTGGAGGGCACTGGTCGTTCGTGTCAGAAATTCGAGAAGGAAAGGGCCTCGAGGATGCGGCTGTATGTAAAAGACACAACAATTCCCTTCGACTCGTTGCAAGATTCTCCATTCTCTTCTCGCGTATAAGTTGAAATGGACGAGAAATATCATGTTAATGTCCCGATAAATTCCCGATTTCTCCGTAGTTGCGAGCAACGCACACGTTCGTGCGTGAACATAACGCGAGAGGCGAAGCGAGTTTCACGCCGGCAACATAATTGGTCTGTCGTCTACCTCGTGGACGCCGGACGGCTTATCCGATCTCTCTATTTCCCTTCTTTCATCGTTTCGTTGGCTGTGTGTCACGAGAATGGCAAGCGGGATCCATAAAAGCGGCTGTAGTCGCATGCCTTCTCTGCCCGATCACTATCGATTTCGCAGAGCTACCTCAAAACGTACGCATCAAGGACAAGCATTACGCATCCATGCTAACAACGAAGATTCCTCCCTCGACGCGATAGTAAAACGAGATCCGTAATTTGCGACTTCTAAGCTCGTTATAGAAATTGCGTTTTATAGAAATGACAACACTGGCCGTTGCTCGTGGTCAAGATTTATCTTGCCGAACTATCTTTGCACGAAGTGAATGTACCGTTCGTATCTTCCGAAGGGATGATTCAGTGCATTTTCTGTGGGAACCGACTAATAGAAGGCGATATCTATCCATCGAAATTTCCAGATTTAAATCAGTACTAGATAGTGTAAGAATATAATATAAGAATCGAATAGAAAATTTGAAACTCGTTAAGAAATTTGACGCCTAAACATGTAGTACAATGTCGCTCGCATCCTACAAGCTTCTCCGTGCATTAAAAGTTACCTTCTTTCCGTCGTAATATTTTCATCCGCACAAAGGATGATATGAAACTTGTAAATTTTGTGTAAGTGAATTTATTTTAACCGAATGAAGTATTGTATTGCATATCTTTTATGACATAAAACTACGTTTTATGTGATTTCCTTATAAGCAGAAAAACTGAGAATGGCCAAACAACAGCCATACGCTCAAGGCAGAAATATCTGTAATTTCCACGGGATGGAGTTAAGATTGCATCGCTTTTATGCTACTCTGTACATGATAACCACGCAAAGTTTACAGATTTAATCGATTAGGGGGTAGCACAAGCATAGCAGTGTTACAAATTTGAAATTCATAATGGAGACCTTTATGAACAATTAGAAGTAAATGATCTTTACATCATGCTACTATGTTATGTACCATACAAT